GCAATCACCTGGTTGAGAAAAGACAATAACATCTTTGAGATGTTTTAACTCTTCACGATTGACAGCAGTAAATGTTTGTATATCGCCCGGATGATGACAAGGATTTTTTGTAATAACAACTTTACAGTTGCTAAGAATTCGGGTATTTTGACATTTGTCATTGTTCTCTTTATCTTCATGATCATTAAGTCGAGTGTATTGAATAAAAACTTCATCCGGTTTTAACACATTATACTCATCTATAATACCAAACATATTGCGAGCTTTATTGAGTGAAACACGAATACGTGTTCGTCGAAGTAGTTCTCGTACTGAACTAAGACATGCAGCTATCAGTAATTGTTGAAAAAATGGTTCACGAATAAAATCAATCTTTTCACCGTAGAGTAAAAACCAGTTTGGTAATTTTTCATCAAGTAAATTTCTAGCATCATTATTTCTTAATAGACCTTGAATAAGAGTCAAATGATTACGTTGTTGAAGAGTAAGAAAGGCAGCATCAGATATGCATCGATGAGATAGAAGAAGAATGGCTTGTCGATTGTGAGAGTGGTCGAGGTGCAGAATTTTTACATACTTCAAAACACCGATGTTCACTCTCGAATTTGTTCATACTGGGACGAATACATAGGTGATGGTCATTTCCCAGTCGTGTATCAACACTGACAACACCTTTAGCACCTGCATATCGAAACTGAATGGCACTGAAGGGTCGCTTGCCAAGTTGTTTTTGAATCTGTAAAAGAGAAAAATCAAGTTTTCAACATACACATCCTCATACACTAACATCATCTAGTAATTGTTTTGACATAGTATCACATCCATCTGTGAATATCAGTTTTCCATCTTTTTTTTTGATGTCATCAATGTATTGAACATTTCTCTCATGTACCTAAACAAAACGATCGAAATACTGATGATAATCATCAATATATATATATGTATTACATTAATAGTGGGAGTAGTTGTTGAAAAGCATAGAGCTACACGAGAAGCATACTTTGCTACATTTCGTTCTCTGTCAAGCTTGCCCATCAATTTATAAGCTTCGTCAAATGATCGATTTAAACCTGGTTCATGATGA